TAACGGCTATATAGCCGTTGGGAAGGGGGGAGCCGGCTAAAAAACGCAGCCAAGCCGCGTCAAACTTTTGACGCTGGTCAACTCACGCCCGATCACGCCCGGAGGGGGGCGGTGTTTCACGCCCTCGGGGCGTTAAACGCCCCATCACACTGGGGGGCGTTGCATGTATTACCAGTGCTCTAAGAATTATCAATTTTATCAACGAAGTATTGTGGATGCATAGGTCATTTTAAAGTCAAAATAGCTCAGGTCAAAAGAATCGTGGTGTTTTATTTATAGATCGATATATTATAAAAGTAAAAATGTAATATTCCAAAACTAGTATAAATGTAAAAATTTTAAAACTACTCAATTAGCCAACTTAATTCAACTTATTCTAAACTTTTGTTTTTACAACATCTAACTATGTTTTTAAGACCCAAAGTCCCAAACCAACAAAAACCTTATTGGTTAGGTCTCGTGTCAATGGTATTACACTTGATGTGTGACATAGACTAAGTGCAGCTCTTCCAGTAGAGGAAATCAATTTATTATGAAAGGTAAGTTGCAAACAAAGGTGAGGTTCAAAAAATGATACTCCGTATATTCCAACTGGTAATAGGCCTTGTTTGGATGTTGGCTTTCAGCTGTTGGCTATTGGGAGTTCGTGTCAGCTGTTGTGAATGACTGCTTGGTTTAGCTGGTTTTGACGGCAGGATGAATTAGCTGTTTGAAAATAACTTTTCCTATACACACACACACACACGATATTTATTTTTAATTTTTTTACTTTCATTTAATTCATAAGAAATTATTAATATACAACTTTTTAATAATTTTTACTTTTTACTTTTTATTTCATTTTTTTTTGAAATTTTTAAATTTTAAATTTGATTTTTTAGCATTTAATTTTTTAACTTTTATTTCTATTTTTATTTTTTACACATATTGTAAAATATCTTTCAAGAAAAATGATGTTTTTAAAAATATTTCCTAACAGCCGAGTTCAAATGCTTCTCCCCTTTGGCATTTCAGATTTTAGTTTTTCGGATCAAAATGCCAAGTGAAAAAGCCATTAACCAAACGGTGGTTTTGGCGGGTCGCTAATTCAAAAAAGCAAAAGTCAGTCAAATATGCCAAAAGCTATCCGAAAAGCTATTTTCCAACACGGCCATAATTTTGTTGAGGAAACGAAGCAAATTAATAGACCACTTCATGTGAGATACTACCTCCGTCTCATAAAAATCTTATCGTTATTTTTGAATTGTGATGTTTTTGCGGAGGGAGTATATACTACTTTAATCCAATATACTTCTTTAATCCATGTTATCTTGTAATTTGTATATTAAAAAATTATATAAATTATATATTAATAATCTATATGTTAAGACAAATCAAACAAGATCACACATGACTATATTTAGGCTTACACATTGAGAGAATTTGGTGAGTCAAAGTGCTTAGATGAACAGTTGCAAAAGTCAAAACTGAACGAATACTCCGGGACGGAGGGACTATGTCTCTAATCCCCCTATGCCCTATGGTTCCCCATCAATTTCCATTAGTAATTGGTGTTTTTTATTCTTTAATCTCCCAAAACTCCTTGGTCGCACTCTTTTCGATCCCATATTAGCAGTAATAAAAGGGGTAGGACCATCCATACCACAGATGAAACATTGTGGCCCCGTTTGGTACATGGAATTCAAACCATGAAATTAGAATTGAAGATTTTAATTCCAATTTTGGTATTTGTTAGCACAAAAAATTATGTGGATTTAGAATTGATAGTGCAAAAAATAAATTGAAATTGGCAGAATTAAATTTTATGAAATTGAATCTCATAAAATTTTGATTCCAATTAAATCAATTCCGTATACCAAACGGATCCTGTAAGTAATTGTTGTTGGAACTAGAGCCGAGTTTCAATTTAAGGGAGACGTTTAAATTTTAAAAGTAGACTTACATTAAAAAGTTATTTAAGGGCTATATTGTTTTTAATATACATGGTGTATTCTCATAGGCAAGCAGAGGTTGAGATGGCCGAGTTGGTCTAAGGCGCCAGATTAAGGTTCTGGTCCGAAAGGGCGTGGGTTCAAATCCCACTCTCAACAGTTCTACTTTTGTTTTTTAATTTCTCCGGATTTATTATTTCATCCATCTAAATATATTTATCTAGTTTGACTTTTTCATTTTGAATTTCAACTAAATAAAATTGTAATGTATATAATAAAAAATAGTTTATATGTCAATTATCTAGTTTATATGTCATTTTTTTCTTTTTACATTTTTAGGAGCAAATTTGTATATTTGTAAAAAATTGGGTGGATATAGCCAAAATTAGGGCGGATTTAGCTAACAGTCTAAGACCCAAATTTAAATTTGCAAAGTTAAATTAAATTGAAAAAAATTTACCATCAAATTTATCTCTTCATTTCGAGCATCTTGCACGTGTAGCTCTTCACAAGCCACAGCAACTCAGGTTTTGATACTATGAAAAATTATGTTTATTTTGAGAATCAAGCAATACTACGAAACAACAATTGTAATGACATGATGATTCGA